GTACCTATCGCGAATGAGAGGAAAATAGTCCCACATGACGACATGTGCATTCGTATTGTTTTTTCTCTCATTCCGAACCGACGAGCTCGTATAAATAAAGTATGTTCGAGAGATTCTTGTACATTAAGCCTGAAAACTCGACGAAACTGCATCTAACAGGCATTTTGCGACAAAATCGAAAGAGTATAAAGAGACAGTAAGAGTTGTCTTAAAAAGCTGATCACGAGTCGATAAGTTTTTGAAGCTGCCTCAGTTACCACCGCCATTTTTTTCACATCAATGTACAAGCGCCTCGCCGATGGAACGAAACGGAACGAGTGTAGAACGGAACGAAACGAAAGCTCCACTCGGACTGGGACGGAGCGAAACGGAACGATTAGGGTAGAGAGGATTTAACATGGAACGAAACGAAAAAAATAGTCTGCGACGGAAACGGAACGAATCGAATCTTGAGAACGAAATGAAATGAAAACGCGAATGAAATGGAATGAAAACGGAATGAAAACGCAAAATCTGTCAACTGAAACGCTGACACCCCTGTATGATACACCTAAATGGTACATCAAAATATCATTGAATGGATACGTTCACAACTGAAAAACAGCATCTTTATTCAAATAAGATGCGATCTATACGAATACAGTATGTAGTTTTATTATTATGTGTGGTGTGCGACTCTTACAGAAAGACAGGAAGATAATATGAATGCATTTTACTTCAAATATCATGAATGCCTGTGTGGTTAGGCTTTGTATAATGAAAGTTTTGCAAAGATACATCGTTTTTATTATCTACGTAAGATGCTGGAAAATCGACTCATATAATGATTCAGTAAGCTAAAAAGGATGATGTCTTTAGTATTATTGATTGGTTATTTCTGCATTGCTCTAGTTATTTGTCCGAGGCCTACTTTATTGGTCTAAGGCGAAGTCAAAGCCCAACATAGCAGTTGAGGACCAGGAACTTGGCCAACACAAAAATAACTTATCAACAATACTCAAGTAAGACATCATCCAGACAGAACGCTAATCACTTCAACAAAATGCATTGGCTAGCAACCTGAAGTACTGACTGGCAGGATGCGTTCGTTTCCCGTCAAATCTTGTATTGGCCGTGTTTTTCTTTATTGGCCGACTTTTTCCAGTAATTGCCGACTTTTTTTATATGTATTGCCCTGGTTCGATTTTGCCATTCAACGGAAAAAAAATGCCATTTTCACTTAATAGTTAAATTAAAGAAACAGGTAATATATTATCATTCCATCTTCTCCGATATCTCCAGTATAAACAAAATCAAAATACAAAAACTATTGCTGCATTGATAATCATTCACTTAATTCAACAAAAATGTACTATGGTCATTTTTGCTGGGAAACTAAAATTGCTTTTTATAATGATAACTCCAGATATCATATTTGAGTGTAATGCCGATTAATATAATATTCAATCTCATCAAAATACTCTCCATAGTATGGAAGTATCGGACAAGATCAAATTACTGCTCTAAAATTAGTAACGGTATAAGAATGACTCACCTGCAATTCTAAATACAATGTCGATTTTCTGTATTCTTGCCTTACTAGGCAGGGTGCCTTGCCACCATGCTGACTCTACTGGATGACCGGCCATACAACCACCTGTATCGAAAGGGCCATAATCTCCGTCTGTGGTCTTTGCTACCGGATAATTGTCATTCGTAGGCTGTGCATTTAGGGTCATTCTTTTCTTCAGGTTAACTAAACGCACGAAAATGAATTGTTATATCAATGCCTTAATAAGATAAAACATGTGACTGAATGTAATGTATCATTTCACGATATGAATTTATTTTTTTACAAAAGCTTAGTTAATGGGCATTGAATCTAACAAAATGATGTTTCCTATTATATAAATATATATATATGTTACATTGAAAGTACAAAACAGTTTATCGTAGTCTTTACGTGCCATTTAGCTCAACAGTGGCCTCTAAACCGCTATGAAGTAATGAGATATGGGACCTTTTAGATGATCGTACACTTTCAACCTGAATCTCTTTCTAACGCCATAATACCAAGGAGAGAAGTTCGTGTTTGCAGTGGTTATATAGAAACATAGACATAAGTAAATCATAATTTTGTTTAAACAAAGTTGTATTCGAACTTCCAAACGAGAGCACCAATGATATACATTATATATTGATTATGTCTTTACCTTAAGCAGTCTTTTTTTTTAACTCATCACGATCTTCGCAAACAAGGATGTCCTTATTTCAGGTAAAATATTTTACCTCTGTACATAATCATTAACGGTCATAAAAGGTATATCACTGCAGTTATGTTAAACTTTCCGACTTGATATGTTTACTTCACACACCTATCGATGTTTCTACAGACACATGTGTTCCCGCTATCAAACCACATTGAATAACTGCTATCTACATCATATTTCAAAAGTAAACCTAAACAAAGTGCCACCTTATCTTAATTGACAAATGGTTGAAAATAAACATCATAAAGAAATAAACAACTGTGAACTATACTCATCAAAATTACCCCAAACACTATGAACACAGCTCCGGCACACCTGTCCATTTATAACGATTATATGTCATTGGTAGTGGTCCCAATGTAAAACCTAACACGTATCCACGTTAGAATGATCATACCATTTAGTCGTACACTAACGCTACAACTATGAATTACGATCAGGAAGTAACGTATGTGCGTGATATATGCAGATAGCACGCCGGGTCATTGTTCATTTTAAAATCGTCCAAATCAAACGAAAACAAATTAAGTACAGATTATTAGTATTATGACAGTATCAGGAAATATTTCTTAGGTTTTGTTGCATTGCTGAACTCTGATAAAAACCTTGTTATAAACATTAAGATGTATACGGTAATACCGTCAGTTGTAATGTTATGAATTAAGCTAGAATGTTAGGCACGGTGTTGGGTACAGAACAAATTAGACATAACCATTCGTCGACACGGGATTTCATAACAGCCATCCGATTGTTAATGTAAAGAGACGAACATTCAGTGGCCTTACCCATGAATAAAATCCAATCTTTCAATAGCTAGTGTTAGGCAGTTATAAATAGTACTAGAAGTGTGTCATGATCGTATAAAGTCATTACACAGTTTTTAACAATACCAGAACTCGGTGTCGTATCCTTAGCGAACAGTCTACAGATGTGTAAATAAACTATATCGATTAAGTTGTAATACAATATTGTTAATGTCTCAATACTTTATCTGACTTTCACCTTGAATCGACACCATCAACATTTTATATCCATTTCTATATTTAAGATAAACAGGCGTGTAACATGAGGTTACCTAGCTCACTCATACAGGTACGGTCTCATGACCGATCAGGTTTTACATTGTACATTGTGTTTAATATGTCTTCCGGTACGGGCAGTCAGGCAAGTATTCGTAATAATAAGCGTTTATTATATGACAGTCCAGACTGTTTAAACTCCTTTCCGTCATTCGCAAAAGTACAATTGAAAGACCACCCTATTTCATTAGTAACCGTAGACATGTGCCGAGAGTGGGCGAGTGGCGCAATATAATTTGTTTCACAATTGTTGTAAAATAGATAAAGTTTAAAGTTTGATGTCGACATTTTATATAGGAAAATGTTATCTTATTTTAAAACAGTTTAAGTTAACATCACATTTCCAAATTATTTGAATGTTGAATGTTTCATACAGTAAGAAATGTCGAAATTGAATAATGGCTGACAATAAACGCGATAAATAAGTAAACAACTGTAAACTTACTACTCATTCGAATCCCTGGAAATATACTCAACAAAACTATCCAAAACAATGTGGGCACAGCTTCTACACCCCTGACCATCTTGAGTGAGTGCATAGTATTCGGTAGTGCTCCGAAAGCATGATATAAAGCATATAGATACGTCAGAACGACCACATTATTTGGTCGTACACTAACACAACTGCTGTAGACGACGACGACCAGGAAGTAAGTTGTAGGTGTACACGTAAATTCCGTCAGCAGTAACGTTAAAAATATAACATACCTTGTTTCATGTGTATTAAACTAGTAAGTTAGGCACAGTGTGGAATACAGAACAAAACTAGACGTTTTTATTGCATGACCTTACCCATGATTAAACTCCGATCTTTCAATAGCTAGTGTTAGGCAGTTATAAATAGTACTAGTATTGTGTCATGATTGTATAAAGTCATCAAGCAGTTCGTTTGTAACAATTCCAGACCTCAGTGTCGTATCCTTAGCGAACAGACTACAGACGTTTAGATGTACTATATTGATTAAGTTGTAATACAATACTGTCAATGTCCCAATACTTTATCTGACTTTTACCTTGAATCGACACCGTCAACATTTTATATCCATTTCTATATTTAAGATAAACAGGCGTGTAACATGAGGTTACCTAGCTCAATCATACAGGTACGGTTTCATGACTGATCAGGTTTTACATTGTCCATCGTATTTTATAGGTCGCCCGGTATGGGCAGTCAGGCAGGTATTCGTAATGATAAACGATTATTATATGGCAGTCAGGACCATTTAAACTACTTCCCACATTTGCACAATTACCATTGAAAGACCATCCAATTTCATTAGCAACCGTATACATGTGCGAGTGGCGCAGTAGAATTTGTTTCACAATTGTTGTAACATAGATAATGTTTTAAGTCTTATGTCGACATTATATATAGGAACCTGTTATCTTCACTTAAAACAGTGTGAGTTAACATCAAATTTCCAAATTATTTGAAGTGGGAAATTGACAGCATTGTATCCCCTCAAAAATAGTTGAATGTTTCATGCAGCGGGAAATGTCAATGTATGTGTTTGTCTCACCAAGCATTTACAAACGGTAGTATATTTTTACTTTCATACAAAACCATGTGGTATGTACATTCACTGAGGTCTTTACACGATGTGGTATCTACATGTACAGATGTCTAATGTACGCGTTTTGTTGTTCAATGAACACGTTGTGATGTCAACTGTACATGTTCTAATGTCTACTGTCGTCAAAAGTAATGATATCCACTGCACACGTTCGGATATCTACTATACACGTTCTGATGTTTACTGTCCAAATTATCATGTCAACTGTACAAGTTTTGATGTCTTTTCTACACATATCGACGTCTACTATATATCTTCCGATATCTACTATACACGTTCTGGTGTGTACTGGTTTACATGTTCTGATGTCTACTGTACACGTTCTGTTGTATACTGTTCACATTGTGATTTCTACTGTCCATGTTCTGGTGTCTACTGTACACATTCTGATATATACTATTCAGATTCCAATACCTAATATTCACATTCCTATATCTACTGTACATGTTCTGATGTATACTGTACATGTTTTGAAGTCTACTATTTGACACGTTTTTATGTCTACTGAACACGTTCTGGTGTCTACTGTTAACGTTCTAGTGTCTATTGTACATGTTCTGATGTTTACTGTTCACATTCTGGTGTTTACTGTACACGTTCTGGTGTCTACTTTTTTCCATGTTCTGGTTTCTACTGTACATGTTCCGTTGTCTACTGTACACATTTTGATATTTCTATTCATATTCCGATATCTACTTTACATGTTCTGATGTCTACAGTACATGTTCTTATCGCTACTGTACACGTTCTAGTGTCTACTATACACGTTCTGGTGTCTCCTTTTTTTAAATGTTCTGATTTCTACTGTACATGTTCTGACGTCTACTGTACACTTTCTGGTGTTTAATGTAACACGTTCTGGTGTCTACTGGTTTACGTTCTTGTGTCTATTGTACATGTTCTGATGCTACTGTACACGTTCTGGTGTTTACTGTACACGATTTGGTGTCTACTGTTTACGTTCTTGTGTCTATTGTACATGTTCTGATATCTACTGTACACGTTCTGGTGTTTAATGTACACGTTATGGTGTCTACTGGTTTACATGTTCTGATGTCTACTGTACACGTTCTGGTGTATGCTGTTCACATTCTGATTTCTACAGTCCATGTTCTGGTGTCTACTGTACACATTATGATATATACTATTCAGATTCCAATATCTACTATTCACATTCCGATATCTACTGTACATGTTCTGGTATCTTCTGTGCATATTCTGATGTCTAATATTTTACATGTTCAGATGTCTACTGTATACGTCCTGGTGTCTACTGTACACGTTATGGTGTCTAATATTTACGTTCTGGTGTCTATTGTACATATTCTGATGTCTAGTGTACACGTTATGATGTCTACTGTTTACGTTCTGGTGTCTATTGTACATGTTCTTAAGTCTACTGTACACGTTCTGATGTTTACTGTACACGTTCTGATGTCTACTGTACACGTTCTAGTGTCTACTATACACGTTCTGGTGTCTCCTTTTTTTAAATGTTCTGATTTCTACTGTACATGTTCTGACGTCTACTGTACACTTTCTGGTGTTTAATGTAACACGTTCTGGTGTCTACTGGTTTACGTTCTTGTGTCTATTGTACATGTTCTGATATCTACTGTACACGTTCTGGTGTTTACTGTACACGTTTTGGTGTCTACTGTTTACGTTCTTGTGTCTATTGTACATGTTCTGATATCTACTGTACACGTTCTGGTGTTTACTGTACACGTTTTGGTGTCTACTGTTAACGTTCTGGTGTCTAGTGTACATGTTCTGATATCTACTGTACACATTCTGGTGTTTAATGTACACGTTATGGTGTCTACTGGTTTACATATTCTGATGTCTACTGTACACGTTCTGGTGTATGCTGTTCACATTCTGATTTCTACAGTCCATGTTCTGGTGTCTACTGTACACATTCTGATATATACTATTCAGATTCCAATATCTACTATTCACATTCCGATATCTACTGTACATGTTCTGGTATCTTCTGTGCATATTCTGATGTCTAATATTTTACATGTTCAGATGTCTACTGTACACGTCCTGGTGTTTACTGTACACGTTATGGTGTCTACTATTTACGTTCTGGTGTCTATTGTACATATTCTGATGTCTAGTGTACATGGTCTGGTGTCTATTGTACACGTTTTGATGTCTACTGTACACGGTCTGGTGTCTACTGTACACGTTATGATGTCTACTGTTTACGTTCTTAAGTCTACTGTACACGTTCTGGTGTCTACTGTACACGTTCTGATGTTTACTGTACACGTTCTGATGTCTACTGCACACGTTCTGGTGTCTACTATACACGTTATGGTGTCTACTGTTTTCGTTCTGGTGTCTATTGCACATGTTCTGATGTCTACTGTACACGTTCTGGTGTCTACTGTTTACGTTCCGAAGTCTACTGTTCAGGTTATGATATCTAATGTACATGTTCCGTTGTCAACTGTACACGTTCTGATGTGTACTGTTCACGTCCTGATGTCTATTGTTCATGTTCTGATGTCTACTGTACACATTTTGATATTTCTATTCACATTCCTATATCTACTTTACACGTTCTGGTGTCTACTGTTCACGTTCTGATATTTACTATACACGTTCTGTTGTCTACTTTTTTACATGTTCTGATTTCTACTGTACACGTTCTGATATCTAGTATACACGTTCAGGTATCTACTGTACATGTTCTGGTGTCTAATGTACACGTTCTTGTGTCTTATGTTCACGTTCCGATATCTACTTTACACGTTCTTAGGGCTATTATTCACATTCTTACATGTACCCTTCCTTATATTTCGTTAAGTGTGTATTTTCAGGAACCTATTGTGAGCCTTCTGAGGTGTTATCGATACGGTATCAGATCTGATGATGTGTGAACCTAATGATCTATACCGGATTTGTCTATTTTTTCCGCCTTACTTATCCATCGTTAAACGCTTTCAATACTATTATAGAGTCTACGATTTTATTTGATATATGATATAACACTATGACGTAATATTTGGGTTGTCCCGCGATCATAAATATATCAGCTGCTTCATCAAACGAAAAACACTTTGATGATGTAAATTTTATTTTCACTTGATATATAAATATATATGAATCATGGCTCTGGTGTCTACTATACACATTCTGATATATACTAGTCAGATTCCAATATGTACTATTCACATTCCGATATTTACTGTACACGTTCTTATGTCTACTGTACACGTAATGGTGTCTATTTTACATGTTCTGATCTCTACTGTACACGTTTTGATGTCTACTGTACATGTTCTGATGTCTTCTGTACACGTTCTGATGTCTACTGTATACGTTATGGTGTCTACTGTTTACGTTCTGATTTCTACTGTACACGGTATGGTGTCTACTCAATCCGTTCTGGTGTCTACTATTTTAAATGTTCTGGTTTCTACTGTACATGTTCCGTTTTCTACGGTACACATTTTGATATTTCTATTTACATTCCGATATCTACTTTACACGTTCTTGTGTCTACAGTACATGTTCTTATCGCTACTGTACATGTTCTTATCGCTACTGTACTCGTTCTGGTATCTACTGTTCACGTTCTGATATTTACTATACACGTTCTGGTGTCTACTTTTTTAAATGTTCTGATTTCTACTGTACATGTTCTGACATCTACTGTACACATTCTGGTATCTACTGTATACATTCTGGTATCTACTGTACTCGTTCTGGTATCTACTATACACGTTCTGATATCTAGTATACACGTTCTGATATCTAGTATACACGTTCTAGTGTCTACTGTTTTACATGTTCTGATGTGTAATCTACACGTTCTGGTGTCTACTGTACACGTTCTGATATCTACTGTACACGTTCTGATGTCACTGTACACGTTCTGGTGTCTAATGTACACGTTCTGGTGTGTACTGTACACGTTCTGGTGTCTAATGTACACGTTCTTGTGTCTTATGTTCACGTTCCGATATCTACTTTACACGTTCTTAGGGCTATTATTCACATTCTGACATGTACCCTTCCTTATATTTCGTCAAGTGTGTATTTTCAGGAACCTATTGTGAGCCTTCTTAGGTGTTTTCGATACGGTATCAGATCTGATGATGTGTGAACCAAATGATCTATTCCGGATTTGTCTGTTTTCCGCCTTACTTCGTTAAACTCTTTCAATACTATTATAGAGTCTACGATTTTATTTGATATATGATATAACACTATGACGTCATATTCGGGTTGTTTCGCGATCATAAATATATCAGCTGCTTCTTCAAACGAAAAACACTTTGATAATGTTAATTTTATTTTCACTTGAATTATGTATGAATTATGACTTTTTATAAAACACATATCGTTTGATTTTTTTATAAGTTTTTGCTATATGTTTGACATATCCTTTCGTTTTGAAATCATTTCTGATTACTGACATTATTGTCCTTCATCTATCAGACCCTAGATATATCTGAGACCATCACTTTTCGTTGAATAATGAGATTTGAGAAATACAAGATTCGTACACATATCTTGGAATAATATCAAACTACAATGGTGTTTTTACAAAAGCCAAAAGTAAACTGACAGAGCAAGCAAAAGAAGCTTTATATGCATTGTATATTAAGATTAAAAGTATTTCCATTCCTGTAGATCTTCAAATGAAATTATTTGATGCACTTGTGTCACCTATTTTATTATATGGATGTAAAATCCGGGGCTATGAAAATGCAAAAAGTATCGAAAACATACATTTACAATTTTGTTAGGAAATTCTTAACATTCGGAAGAACACCTAAAATTATATGGTATATGGTGAATTGGGAAGGTATCCCCTAGACATTGAAATCAGTGTTAGAATGGTTATGTTCTGGCATAAGCTTATAACAGGTGGATCGAAATTATCTAGTGTAATGTATAATATATACAGAATTCTGTATCAAGTTTTAAATGGTTAACGTATATACGAGATATTTTAAACAATACTGGATTTAATTATTTATGGACTCTCCAAATATCATGTACAATTAATAGACAATGCTTTAAATCTATCATTAAGCAGAGATTATGTGATCAATTCATTCAAAGTTGGTTTCATGATGTTTAAACCTCCTCGCGAGGGCAAGTTTACTTCTTATTCAAATATCAGTTTAATATTGAACCATATCTTTTAAAGCTTAATCGTAATGAACGAAAAGTATTATGTAAATTTAGAACATCAAATATAAAAATTCCTATAGAAACAGGAAGATGGAATAGAGTCCAACCACGACTTATACCAATGTACTAATGTATCTGTTGTTGCTCTTACATATACAAAATTATTAGTATGTCAACCAAACTTATATCAAAATAAAAGGAATGTTCTCGATATGTATAACGGTAATTTTAACAAGAGTAAGTAAATGTATACAAAGAGTAATGAAGCTACTTAATATCTAAAATAAGTTAGCTAAAAGAAGTATTGAAATGGGTTGTTTTTGCATAAATTGTATCATGTGTCATATTATGTGTGTACTATGTCCATCAATGTATACTATATAATATGTGACCTCTTGTTACGCATGTATACGTCTGGCGTGAGTGTAAAAATAAAACTTGAAACTTGAACTTTGTAAATGTGTTATAATTTATTGCTTAATATATCATTTTCGATTTATAATCACAAAATGTTTGTTTCCAAATATATATAATTCACCATTAAGTGTCTCTTTCGAAAAAGCTAAACATATTAAAAATGTTTTTCATTTCAACATGTTTTATTAAATCAATCCGATTAAAAAAGGATTTGGGAAACAGGCAAAGCCTATACAAGTTCTCTCCCTGACATGGTAAATGTCATCTCGTGGATACGATAACTAGTACATTTGCATCCAGTTCTAGAATATTTATTCATACAACGCCATTTCTGCTTTCATTTGTAAACAGTTATAGTTATTTCTATCTTAAGTGAACCTGTACCAAGGGAGACAACCTGGTTGAGGAGACCATTATAGACTTTCCGAAAATGATATATGAATACAGAATAAAATGTATGCAGGACATGAAGATGTTTTAAAGAAATATATTTCAAGCATGTTTTAGACCAAACAATCACAATGGATGACGAAGTAAAACAAATCAGTTGGTAAGATACTCGTCATAAGAACATGACATAGCAAAAGGTTCAGCAGTTCAATATGTTATCCCGCACTTAAGCTAAAAACACACACAGCAGTTAATAATGAGCTAGTAATACGGTAACAGAAATAATCGTTCCTCACTGCATTTATGATCCAGCATCCGCAGATATCCCTACGGTATCGTACATGTTAGGGACGGTCCTAGTCAGGGAATCAAGTTTTTCATAATTTTCGTCAGCTGTGGTACTCTTGGAAATTTGCCTCCCATTTTTAGTGTCTACAACTTCATAAGGACCATCTGAAATAAGAAAAGGTGAAGAGAGGGCAATATATATAGTTAACAAAAATAATTCGAAATGTTAATTCGTAGTGCGACGCTGCTAATTACATATAGTAAGGTCGCGCTTTTAATTTATTCAAAACGTTGCAAAAAGCTAAATATGGTTATCAATACGCCTACTGAACGTAATGCAGAGAAATAGCGTCTATAGGAATACAAACAATTGTATAAGACAAACTTATATCATTTTCCTAATGCTGGCTTCATTTTATCAATTGATCATAAACGTTCAGTCTGTATAATGATCGATGCTAAGCTACCCCATAAGATTTCAACGTTGATGCATTAAAAGTAAAATAAAAACAGGAACAAGACTTGAACAGACACTGAAATATCGTAGCTTGAAACTTCTTCAACAGAAAATCTTGATAAAGTGGTTTACATGTCAACAGAACTCATTATACGGAACATCTGGTAACTATCAGCTTAACTAGGTTCTAAAGTATGGGATGAAAGTGGATATTTTCGAAGGAGGGGCATTTTTGCCCTTTTTAAATACTACACTCTCTGTTGGAATTATAATTATCATATTCTTCCCAAGAGTACAGTAAAACAGTACAAACATGCCTACGTGTAACACCCTTTTAAGTTAAAAACAAACAGATGTATATTGACAAAAAGTTGTTGACGATCCGTATTTACAACAAGAATATTATATTCTCTTTTAAGATATGATTGATACACATAGATAAAAACTAAAAAAAAGACATTTCCATAATATTACAAAAATTACCTATATCTGCCTTTAACTCGTGTCGTTTGGCTTGTTGTAAGATGTCGGACATCTGAATAGGTCCCGTGTTGTCTCTGTGCTTCATCGAGAGACGCCTGGTCTGTACAATAACTAAGACGAACAGTAGTAAAATGACCACTCCACATCCAACACCTATCCCGACTGTAGCAGTTTTGTAGCTCTCTATGTTTGTAAGGCCTTAAATTAGGTTATTAAAGTCAGCATTAGTTTAATAGTGTATTTTAAGTAATAATTTAAAGTAAGTAATATATGTCTGTTTTATACACAGTTTTATCAAACATCTAGAATGTATTTGTACCTTGATACATAGTTTCCAAATTTAGCTAAATGCCGGTGTTCTTCATGAAATAAAGTGCAACGTACTTTTTTTTCAAAATTAATACAGTTGAAAAAGAAATGTGACAGAGTTAAATACAAGCTTGAAAAATCAGAGTAGAGGTATTTGCCATAACTTACTAACCGGCACAGTATCCATTGGTCTGGATACAGAAGTTGTCATTGCAGTCATGTGGACACATTTTATCACAATGCGCACCGTGGTATCTAGCTTGGCATTCTGAAACGTGAACAGAACGCTAATATTTAGATTCAATTTGTACTTAGATGTTCCTAAATTTACTATTCACACATTATATGATTAGTTTTCAATCACGATATTAACTGTCTCAACGATGAAGTTGTAATTATTGTATTGTATATGTAATTATAATTGTGTATCATTGCCTTTATGTAAGCACTGTAAGGTATTGAAAATCATCCATTTTGTGTCGTTCCAATTATATGTTGATATACAAAACAGTGCCTGCCAATGGTACATAACTAAAAGAGAGAGGAAAACAAAGAGGAGGAACCAATGCCTACATACTTAAGGCGGCGTTAAGGACCGTTCCTTATCCAGATTATCCAAATGTTTTCTTTCCTTCCAAGCGAAAAACACTAACAACTGATCGACATTATATCTTTGGGCTTCAATTGCGGTAGCGGTACATTACTTAAACATAACTTAAACGCAGCATATTAACAATTAACTTAACTACGGAGGTTGTATTTGCAATTATATACTTACCTTTGCAATGCCCGTTGGTCTGGTTACAAATACCTCCCTTACAGTTTTGCGGACAACTTTTATCACAAAAGGCATAGTAGTATCCAGTTTTGCATTCTGAAAACAATCCCCAGAAAATACCGTTCATGCTGCCAATTTACATGATATGTCGTTTAACTTATCAAGATGTACATCGTTCTTTGTTAACAGCTTTTATATCAGCTTAAGTATACAGCACCACATTATCAATGTATTCTTATAAATAAGTACCTGATTTAACCGGAATAGCAAACTTTTCAATGACATTGATGTTATGTATGTCTATAAACAGGTTAAGGGTAACGAGACATTAAGAAAGTTTTGATTCAGGCTGCTGATCTGTGTGTATGTATTACGTTTACTCACCCATAAATGCATATGTTAAACATAATGTTGTAATGAACGTACCGTTGCATACTCCGGTGATTCTATCGCATTCTTTATTACAGTTATCCGGACAAATCTAGTCGCAGACAGCCCCATATAGTCCAGGTGCACACTCTACAACGTACATACTTAATTTAAATCATACAATTGAGTAACGATGTTTGGATTGTCAGTGGCTGATTTTTCGTCATAGAGTGTCTCTCAAACATGTGCACTATATCATTTTCAGACTTAACATTTAGTAATTTGGTTAGTAACCTATAATTGTTGCCAGACAATTGTAAAAATGGGGCGGGGTGTTTTCTCAAACAAGCTATTCGTATGAGTTGTTTTGAAGTTGATAACCCTAGATAATGCTTTAAATTAAAACAGGTATTTCGTTTTGTATCGTTTTATTATATAAATCATACTTTTTTACCTTCATTATTACAGAGGCACTATTTAGTAAAGCTACTGACATCCTAAAAAAAACCAGTTTTGAATTTATTTAGAGTTGAAATAGATGGTAGCAGTGCGGGTTCCTCTAAAAGAATGGGGACACCCGCAAGTTCATCGGTGTGTTCTGTTGATGTTAAGAAGTTGCAAAACAGAAAATACTGTTCGTAGACTTTACTGTTGGAAACTATAAAATGGAACTTGCGTTGAGCTGCTAAAGTTTAGGTTTAGTGGCAGTGCAATCTACATGTTTCCTTCATCTTTACTGGGTTTGTTATGCCTTATTAAACAGTGTATTAATAATGACGAGTCGTTCCATGGTAAATTTAATATAAAGTTAAAATGGACAGATTAAAGTATGAGTAAGATGTCAATAAAGGTCACTAACCTAAGCACGACTTTTAAAACAGCTACGTTTAACGGTTACATGTAAAGGTGGTGTTAAAAATTTGATCTTAATTAAAAAGAACATTTTAAATTGTCCATGTGCAAAAACAAAACTTGTAACATATCGGACTCAAGCACAGACCCAGGTCAAGTAGTAAAGTTAAAATATCAGATAAACATGAATTAGAAGCAAAACAAGAAATGGGATTTCGCTATATGTTTTCATTTTTACATACCAGTACATTGACCATCAGTCTGGTTACATATGCTGTCTTTACAGATTCTGAGTGGACAGGCCTTGTCACATATGTCACCATAGAATCCAGGTTCGCAAACTGAACAAGAAACATATCATTGGTATTACGTTCCTGTACGATCGTCTCTAATGTACGTAATTGGCGGAAATAAAAAAGAATATTCTGTTATTCAGCGTTACTGATGTTGGAATTACTGAATAATTTATTTGTGATTTAAGAGTTTACCTGACTGCGTCAAAGAGACTCAGCAAGCTTATTAGTAAAATAACCTAGACAATAATTTCTTCTAGTCTTTCATTTCACATATAACGTAATGTTTAAATGGCACATTGGTAGTCTTATTTAGTAATTGCTTAACATTATAGCAATGTGACATCCTAGGAGAATACATTTATTAACAGATTGATAGTTGAAACATTTTAAATACCTGTACAAAATCCACTGTACTGAAAACACGTGTTTGTTCCACAATTGACCGGACACCGATGAAGACATGCATTGCCATAAAATCCTTGATCACAACCTACAAGTACCATAGAAATAGTAAATGCTTAAAAAATATATTATTGCATTTTTTATTGCTATTAGTGATGATGAGAAAGTAAAAACGAAACATTCTTCAAACAAAGAGATTGACTGCGTTATGAATTATTACAGTGTCGTTAAGTTTGAAAATTATTTCTTTAAAAAAATAGAATATTACAACAAAAATTCGAAAATAGTTCAATGAAATCTTTAACTACCTGTACAGGACCCAGTTACTTGAACACACGTGTTTCCTTTACACTCAGTTGGACACATCTGACTGCAGTCATTCCCATGGTAACCATCTTTACAACCTTAACAAAACAATTATCATGTTTGTAAAGCATTGTAAAACCAACTGAACAACAATAACCTAAATCAAATTTCTTACAGGGTGTCTTTCTCGAAACCTCCTTCAACTTGTTGTAAATAGATAATCAGTCATGACAGTAATAACTTTAACGCCTGCTGAGATACGGTTTTAAAAATATGAAATGCTTTAAAGCATACATATACAAATAATGCATAGCATGCATGTGCCATATTTGAACCCGGTATACATGTACCTTTTTATTAAATTGTTACATCACTAGTATGAAGGAGGATGTCTACCCCGGTACCTCAGCATTATCAAAATCTTCAAAGAAGTACCATATGAAAATAAACATGAATGACTTGGTTATGTGTAAACTTTGGTCAATATATTTAATATAAACGCAATGAAGTCAATTAATATATTTGTATCATGTAAACTGATGTGTCATTTTTTTTTTATCTTTCCTGATAAAATACATATCAGTGATACAGGAAAATGGAAAACAACTCTCACAAAGGATCTAATAATAACTGAAAGAGAAAGGGCACATTTTCTCATGCAATGCATAATAAAGTTATAACCAAGGTATTATATGGACACGCAAACAATGAAGTGTACATCTAAGTAATTTATCGTAAATTTATTGATAGCTTTTATAAACAATACATAGTTAATATCACACTTACTACAATATCCGGAAGTTCTGTTACATACAGGATCGGTACAACCAATAGAACAGGGAGCACAGGATGGACCAAAGAAACCATCATCGCATTCTTGTATGATAGAATCGAAATGGCAATTAGTACTTAATGCTATGAAGTTTGCAAACTCATAACAACTTCCGTAATAGCTTCATGAATTCTTTTTTCATTATTAACCATAAGAGTTATTGCTACTTTGACATAGACATTTTATCCATTAAGCAAATGAACATCCATTTCTTGAGATATTCTTTAATGCAAACAAATACACTGCATGAAAAATGCCCACGCTCTATGTTCACCCGCGGTAATATATGGGTAAAACAAACCATGTCAATTACAACAGCTTTGAACGGGTAGTTAAAATACTGCTGCAACGCTTATTATCAGGGAGTATATCATTAATTAAAATGCGTATTAAGTTCAATTTCATTCGGAATGATATTTGTTCCGATGTCAGGTCATTTAAAAGTTTTACCGACGTTATAACCACATTATTTTAGTCAGAATATATCCACAGTATTACTACTTCAGTTAAGGGCTTAACGTTATTAAAGATAACAACGAAAAACACTAAGTGACACAGCTGTCGCACAGCACAGTAGTTTTTCGTATATGCAGTAATTTCCCCTTAATTTTGTTTTAGACATAACTAGCACAGTTGAGCCTCGACACTTCCATTGGCCAGGTAGATCAGCCTGCTTGGCCAATAGTTTGACAATATGACGTCCAGGGTTCGAATCCCGGTCTGTCCCCTCTGAATTTCTATAAACAGAAGCCTATTGTTGATTATGTTTTGTCTATATCATCTACTATAGTTTTCCTAAATATCCCGCAAGGTATGGTTTCTTTTCATAAATTATTTATCGCAGCCAAAGTTTTGTCGGAAAAATCGGTTTTCAGTGTATAGTTACAGCTTTTGTCAGTGGTATGGGAATCATTAAAAAAATTAGGATGTCAATGCAGAATGCAGAACAAACACACGTGTCAAGAAAACCGCAATTAGAACCCAAAAGCAATAAACCTGAGGCGAAATATGAACAAACATTTTTTACATGGAGACTCTTCAATAAGAAGATTTCCGGAAGGGTAAGAGTCTTTTGCTTCATCGACGACACTTGCCATGAGAATCCAGTTCAAATCCAATTAAAGTCACGTCTTCATAGCGATAACCGGGACCGTGACGGCGAAACAAAAAGGCACCTTACTGAACATGATAAATAACATCGACTTCATATGTCATAAAGGAATAGTATATTCCCCAATGATATCGTGACGGTAACTATCAATCTTGCCCAAAATCTTCATCGATCCTCTGAGCCATGTTTTTACTAAAGTTCGTGGAAAGCGGCCGGTATAGAAGAGTATATTGTATCCTTTATTTTAAGTTAAGGACGGTATATATATTAGCAATTTACAGATAGCTATTTCATCAACATTTTCTCTTAGTTTATTGATTTTGAGTCCGATTAACGGTTATGTTTACCCTATGATTTTTTTTATTTTATTTTATCCATGTTCGGATGCAATTTAAAGCTGAAAAGTGTGTTTCCTTCTAGTTACTTTTATACAAACAACATAGTTAACCCCATTCCATCCGGTTCACTTAATCTTAGTAATAAGGTGCAAGCTATATACATTGTCAAGATCGCATGTAATTATTATATGTTATATCATGTGTTGTGGTGTTATTGGTTATGTTTAATATTTTATGTGTAACACGTGGGTGCTAAGCTCAGGTAAGTTCACTAGAGAACGGAAGTGCACGTGCCGGGGGTGAGGATTCGTCACACAGGTAACATACGCGAGACGTGTACATGTTGTAATGGCGATGTGCTAAACATTACCTGTGTCAGACACATTCCATGGATTCAGGCACAGAATACAGACTGTGGTGAGTAATTGATATAATACTCTTACTCTTACTTCACTAATTTGTATCTTGGAGTGTCTCTGATCCCCGTAAATGCATTTCTAGTGTATACCTTGACGTGCGGTCCACTCATGCGTAGCGATAGGGCAGGTGTAGTATAGGTGTATATGGATTGTTTACAT